TGAGAAGAGATGCACCCCCAGAGCTCTCAGAGCACAGCTCAAATATGTTCCTTTTACAAAAGCGGTTCTGAAATTATGGTCCTTGGACAAGCACATCACCTGGGAACTTACAGAAACAAAAATTCGGGGGCATATCTGGGATCTGAATCAGAAACTAGAGGGGGAGTCCAGTAATCTGTATTTTAACACACCTTTCAGGTGATTCTGTGGCTCACTGTTTGAAAACAACTGCTCCACGCCATCCCCTGCATTGCCTGGCCCTGTTGGCACTATGCATGCCTGCAAGAAACCATGGCCTTCTGGAGTCAGATGTAAGGAAGAAAATGAGAAAATGTGCGTGCTACTTTAGTTCTACTGGGAAAGGAATAATTACTACGTCTTGAATTTTCTTAAACACACTTAAGCTACGTTAACTACTCCCTCTAGACATAATTCTAGGAGATAATGGTTCTCATACAGATTCATTTGTGACAGTAACTGACATCTAAAATGGAACTGTTTAAAGCAAAAAAAAAATCCTATAGAAACAATAACTTAATGTATGATTATTTTCCCCTAATTTAGTCAGCTTTTATTTTACTAAAGTAAAATCTATTTCCATCAATGTCGAAAAGAAACCATGCAACTGAAAAGATGCACCTGTTGTACAAAATGATTCCTGTATGCAATGTTACAATAGCACATTAAATAATCCATAATTTGGAAAAAAAAGTTTACCAAAAGCTACCTTTTATAATATAAAATTATGCAATTAAACTGAACTTAAATTGAACAAATTCTCTGAGGTAAGACTAAATAAAAATACCTCTTTTTAAAAACATTAATGTAGTGCACTTTTCTCATGTTAAATGGAAACACATTAAGATTTGAAAATTTAATTCAACCCAACAAAATATGTACTAAGGAACAGTGTTATTGATGGGTTTTGCTTCAATGGTGGGGAAGGAACACCTTTTGTCACAGTTCACAAGCTAGTAAAGCCTGAGCAAGGTCAGAAGCATTTGGATACATGCCAGAAAATTAGTAGGCGCACAGTTCAGACTTGGGACAAATTTCAAGTTGAAGGTGAAGGAAAGAAAAAGATTAAGGGTAGCTTCACTGCACCTACGATGCCTGAGGACTTGGTGATGCCTCTCAGCGACGTTAGGAATGTGACAGGGACACAGGTTTGGTGGAAGCAAAGGAAAGGAACTCAATTTCAGACATTCTGGAATTCTAATCCCAATAGCTACCATTTTTACTATTTGGTATGCATTGCCCTAAATATTTTACAGGCATCAAATCATAAAATTCTTACTGCAATCCCACAAAGATGAATTGATGATCAATTACAACCTTTTACCAGGTGAGACCCAGAGATCTTATGCCATTTGCTTAAGGCACCCAGTTAATAGGTGGCAGAGCTACGACTTGAGTCAAGGCAGCTGTCTTTAGGGCACCTGCTCTTTTTCATTACTTCAATTTTCATTTTGAGTGACAATAAAATTCAAATGGTTCAAAAATAGAAATGATATGATATGATGATATTCATATACAGGTCTTGCTTCCACCCCATTCTGTTCTCTCTATCCCTCATTTGCCTGTGCAAGCATAAGGGGGTAAAAATACAAAAATTTTTCCACATTTGACACCATTCTGCCTTGCTTTTCTTTTTTTAAGTTGATCATTACATCTTGGAAATCTTTCAATATAATGTATAGGGAAACTCCTCATTCTCTCCTTCTCTTCATCCCGTTTCTTTTTAACAGTGCATTCCATTCTGTGGCTGTGCCATACATAGTTTATTTAGATAGAAACTTGGGCTGTTTCCTAACCTTTGTTTTTACAGCCAATGCCACAGAGAATTACCTTGCACACATGTTATTTCTATATCTTTAGCTATATCCGTAGGATCAATTTCCCGGAGTGGGATTTTATAGGTTAGAGGGTGAATGTATTTGTAATTTTGACAGATATCTTCAAAATACTCTCTACAGAAATTGTAAAACAACCTATACTTCTACTATTAATGTATAAGGATTGAGGGTACACTTTCAACTCCTCTGTGATACTCCACAGAAAAAGATACCAGGAAAACATTCTTGTATTTGTCAGAAGGCCGATGAGAATGAAGACAGTGCGAGTGAGGAGTGAGGACAAAGCTGAGTTTACAATCCGACATTCAGAGAGACCTTACAGGGTAGCTGCTATATCATTAGTTACAGAAACGATTCCAAGGCACAGAAAATCAAGTACCTCGCTTGAGTTTACATCCTAGTAGTTGGCCAAGCCTAGATCTGAATATACATCTTAGCCACTATGATTCTTTCTTATCAAATACTCTATCCTCCTAGTGTGTTGAAATAATTTAATTGTCCTCTATGGTCTCCATTACATAAAAGTATTTTTCTATTCCAAATTGGAATATTAATATATTTATATTATATATTCATATAATCCATATTAAGCAATCAAACTATCATCCGTATTTTAATTCTAGGTAATTGTTGTTTCTTTCCTTTAAAAAATGTAATAACTTTTCTTGACTATTGTGCTATAAACCAAAGAGCAAGAATTAATTAACAGCTCTGCTTTCCCTGGACTTCTAGTTCACATTGAGAAAGTGTGCCATGTGGTGTTAGTCTTTCATACAAAAGCCACAGGGTATGCTCTATTGTTTGTTAGGCAAACATGGTAATGAAGATAAACTCAAAATAATGACTTTATAGTAAGTCATCATTTGGATATAATTATCTGGGTTTCTACAACTTATTGAGAAATACTTTAAGTATATTTTTTGTGATTACCAACTTTAATAAGCCAACCTCAAGAACCTTTATTATGGTTTCTGAAAGTTCTCTGCTGTTTCACTGCATAAAATAAAACAAAAACAATCAAACCCCAAAATGGACCACAAAATCAATTTTCTGAAATCTTTTTATGGGCTGAGTCAAATTGGGGCTTCATGATGTCGGGCCTCACAATCTCTGCGACGCTGGCCCTGATTCATTTCCATTGGGAGATGAACTAACGACTGCATTCCTCTTGGAAACCAGTAATTATGTGTTTGTTTCCATCCTGTAAATATTCCCAAGTGGGTTAGCTCACCACCAAAAGGATTCCATTGATGGCTGCAAATGCCTTCGACTTCCCTGGAACTTTTATGAAGGATCAAACAGGATGTGAAGGCTTTTGAAGCGCACTGGTATACATAAGAATAATAACAATATAGAGGCCAGGATCTCTGCTTAGTTCCAATCAATGCCCACAGATTGGTTGCCAGGCTTGTTTGGCCTTTTGATGCATTGTGTTCACCCCCAATGGTATTTTTAAATAATGTGAACCAATACTTAAGGGAGAAAAAACTTTATAGCTAAAAAAGAATTCAGATTTTTGTCTTTGCTTGAAAAAGCTGGAGTTGCAGCAAACCCACATTTTGGCGTGGCAGCACCAGGGAGGGCTGAGTAGGTGCAGTGCGGTCCTCTTTGCACAAAGATTCGCTTTGGGTTTGCTCCAGATGGAACCACTCCTATTACATTGCCAACATCAAGCCTATTGGCTCTGAAAAGTTAGATCTGTTCAAAAGTAACAGGATGAGACCATATTGTTTTCTTTCAATTGATCTGTTTAGTTCACTTAAGGTACTGACTGCATATGAGTTTATAACCCTGCTCTGCTCGACATGGGAAGAAATGTACTAGGTGTGTTTTCTGCAGGATAATAGAGTTGGTGCTGAGACCCAACAGATGGGCTCTGAAGGTTAGTCTTATGCAAAAATGTCCACTTTCAGCAAAATCCATGCCCCATGAATACCATCCCCTTCACGTCACCAATATATCATCAATATTATATTATTTTTTAAAAAAACTTCCAAAATAACAATAAGATTACCAACACATATCATATGTATCCATTGGTTCATCACACGAAAGCTAAGAGCAGAGGTTTTGTTCCTGAAAGTTTACAACAGGCCCTGACCCATCATAGGTGCTCAATAAATATGTGTTGCACGAATAGTAACTAACTTTAAATTACTCACTGTGCTGAGTTTCTCTTGCTGTTGTTTCTCCAGACCTACTCTTCATGGGTCTTTACCCTGCTCTGAGCCCTGGGAGGCTCCTGCATGACTCGCGTTAGTGGGATCCGTGGATTCTTTGTGTTCCGGCATCTGATTTGACCAAAGGGAAGCTCTGGGTGGGAGGACATTGCTGGGCGGCAGCATCCTTCCCTGCGAGCTGACTCCACGGGAGGCTCATAGCTCCTGTCCTGCGGTCCCCTCCACAGCTCCTGTGGAGTTCCGCAACTGCCGCCTCTTTCCGCTCCTTCAAGCGTATGGGTGGTGGCGGCATCCCAGGTTTCTGCCCCAGGGTAATGTGCTATCCCTACCAAACTTCATAAACACAGGTATCTCTGCCTTTTGCAAGTTCACTTTACCGCTGTTTTGCGGAAGACACTGCATTAGTACCCGTTTTTCCTAACAAAAAGAAAGGAATCTGGCCAAAGGAATGTGAATATAAGACTCTTCTGCTTTTCCTTTAGGAAGTGAAAATAGCATTTGTTTTTCCGTGAGCCCGTAGAGACGCAGCGTGCGCCTGGCGCAGCGAGAGTGGAAACAAAGGGAGCCCCTTCCCGGGGACCCGCACTCAGCATCTCGGGCGTCCAGCCACCCCAGCTCGGAGCTGTGTCTGTGAGCATCTGTGCTCTGGCTCCGTGCAGCTGGCACATCCATCAGCAGCTGGGTCCTCAGGTGACTGCTTTTCCGCTTTACTCCCTTTCGGTTTGTGACAGGTCCTGTGGGACTGCTTCACTTACGGGTTGCGGGGGAGACCCGCAGTCCTGTTCGCAGTCTCTCCTGCAGCTGGTCACCCACTCGAGTGCGCCCTCTGTTCCTGCCAGGCCCTAACACCCTATCACCAAGCCCTCGCCCATTGATTCCCTCCCTACCCATTACGAAATAATGGAGAAGCAGTTCTCCGGTAAGCAATTGTTTTCACCTTTACCAGTAACTGAGAGATCTTCACCTGTAAATGGCAGAAGCCGGGTGAGAGCCGGTGTCATAGCTGGCACGGACGCGTCCCCGGTAGAGTTCCACCGCGATATGGTCTTTGTCCCCCTTATACAGGAGGATGCCGCTGTCTTCATCTGTAGCGATCTAGGAGGAAGGGCCGTTCCGTTAGCAGGATGCACAGTCACCCACACATGGTTCACCAAAAGAAACAAGGCTGCTTAGTGAAAAGTGTTTACTATGGTTTATTTTTCCCTTACGGCTATGAGAAAATACTAATGCATGTTGAAATTACCTGAAAGACAACCTAAATTACTTGGTTGCAAATAAAGTCCTAAAGGACTTTAAAAGGTGTTTCTTTTTTACATTTATAAGCCTATTTTTATTCTTTCTGTACATGCTGGCAACGACAAAGCTTAAAGATGCACGTCCCATAAAATAGCAAAACTGAGGAATTTACATACATAATTTATACTTCAGGAAATTAAAGTTGAAAAATATTTTCCACATCATTACAGAGCACAGTATTTAAAGTAAACCAAGCTTTTCCCTTTAGAGTTCAAACTATATTTTCTCAGCAGAGTATGATAAAATTTAATCATGAATAAAGTGGTCATGTTTCTGTTCTGTTGAAAAAGAACAATAACAAATACTTAAAAAAAAAAATCCACTGGATGTGCTTGAACTTTCGTTTCCGGAGCTTTTCCTGCTCACTCACCTGCTCATTTTGCTTCTGTAAAGGGTTTTATTTACAGCACATGTGAAATGTGACTGCATCGAGCAAGACTGATTTTCATATTTCATATAAAAAAGCAAATTCTTTATAGTTATGGCATGAAAAGAGGGAAACCTCTTTTTATATCCTCCTTTTTGGCTTTTTTGGCTTTTGAAGGATTGGTTCTGTAAAAGTCAGTTCTGGGTACTTCTCATAACCACCTGGCAAATGGTGGAAGGCAGGAAGACTTTAAAAAATAAATAAATAAAGCAAGCCTGTCTTGTTTGCAGGATCCCCTTCCTCATGACTTGTAAAAACCCCCACCCTCATTGGAGTGTCAAGTTGTAAACCAAATACAAAGAGGGGTCTACAGAAAATAGGCTAAAATCGTGTGAATTCAAAACATAGTACAATATTTTGTTTACCAGATAAACGTGCAGCCCCAATCTGCCCCATGTCGCCTACATTGATTGATTTCCTCTAATCCAGTCTAAACTTGTCTATAGGGGTCTGAATCCCTGACTCAAAGCTACTGAGTGACTTGGTGGAAAGACTAACCATTAATCTGAGCTTGTTCATTTCATGTCTATTCTCAAAGGCTTTGTTTGAAAAGTGCAAAGACACTCCCCGATGTTTTGCCGTAGTGTCTTCTGTCCCACCTGTTCTCTCCTCAGCTGAACATTCTCCCAGAAAAGCCTCCCCCGTGCAGATGCTGAATGGGAGTCATAAAAATAAAGGAACAAGCCTTTTCTAGGCATTAAATAAGAAGATATATTTTGTTGCTGTGTTTTTTTCCCCCAAAAAGGGAATGAATAAAACTACGTGGTTCCCATTTAGTTTGGAAAAATACAAACGTTGGAGAGAAAACGGAAGCTTTCCCCTCAAGAGCACTGTCTGTCACTGTATTCTGATGTCTCTGACTGTCCATGTAAGAACTCATATCACTCACAAAGTACCACAGATGTGTGTACTTCAAAGCTTGGCTTAAAATTTGGCTTAAGATAAGATTAGCTCTTGCAAATGGCAGAGATCTTACCTGAAGCGTGATGTTCGTTTGAGGCCGAACCTTGGCCGAAGGAATTTGAAGATAGGACTCTTTGTTTACAAAATTCACACTAACCAACTTTTCACACTTCTCCCCCTGGTAGCCAGGCAAACACTGGCATATTGGCTCGTTTATCCTGATGATACACTGAGCTCCGTTCTGACAATCGAAGTTATCGCAGGGGCTGGTTCGAGGGAGGACCATGGGTGGAGCAAATTCACAGAACAAGCCACTGAAGAAAACCAGAAATACGTGGGTTAGACTTTACTTAATTGCCAATGTGAATGAGTCCCTGGAGGCCCAACGCTGCACACAGAGGCGCCCGGCTCCTTTTACCTGTAACCGTCGGGGCAGGTGCACGTATAGCCATTCACGGCGTCCGTGCAGTGGGCTCCGTTTTTACACTTGTGATCTTGGCAGTCGTCGAAATCCACATCACAGTGCTCGCCTATGTATCCTGGTGTGCAGTCACACCTGTGTGGACAAGCAGGAAAGCGGTTTCAAACCCAGCTGAGCCAAAGTGAGAAAAACAGCAGCATTTCATCTAGAAAAAGATGGCACTGCCTTAAAAAAAAAAAAGAGTATTTAGACAAGCTCACTGAGCCCCCAGATGAAAGGAAACCTAGGAAACATGCTGGTCTGCAAAGTAGCCCATGGCTTCTCACTGTGGTCTGTCAGGGAATGGGGGTCCCATCTTCCTGATGGTAGTGGGGATCCACAGTCCAAGTAAGAACAGAATCATTGCACCAGGGTTCTTGCCTTCTCTTTGTCTTGTTTGCTTTCCTACTTTCCTTTTCCCCCCTTCCCCCCTTCCTCCTTCCCTTTTTTCTCTCTTCCTTCCTCCCTTCTTCCCCCACTTTATTTGCCTACGTGTCTTCTATTTTTGGCTCTAATTCATTTGAGGAGTTGAGATTATAAAAGTGCTGTGATGTCAAATTTACTAAAAATATTAAGCAAGTTTTTAAGTGAATAAAATTTTAAAAACTTTCTAATAGAGAATAAATACACTGGAATAAAATATATTTTTTTTGTGGAAAAATATGTTAACACTGGATACCCCAATTCATACTAAGTCCAGACAATCATTATGGCCAAACAGGACTGACCTAATGGGGTGGAGCAGGGGAACCAGAACAGAACTTGGGCTGGGCTCTGGGACAGCTTCTCTGCCTGTCCCTGTGGGGCTGATGGGTGGAAGGGTCCCCACTGTGCTGTGGGGGGAGACCCAGGGGTAACAGATGCTGATGTTCTTTGAGCACTTCATCTCTGCCAGACCCTGCCCGAAATGCCTCGCTAATGGGGACTCACTGAATGCCCTCCACAGCCCTGAGACATTGATGCTATCTCTACTCCACCCGGTGGGTGAGGAAACTAAAGGACACGTGGCTTAAGTACCTCACATACCCCCGGATGTTCAACTTGTAAGTGCTGCAGCCAGAAACTGAACCCAAACATCTGACAAGGGAGCCAGGATTTCTAACCGCTGCACACGCTGTCGAATGGGTAGTGAATTCCGCAGGGCTCTCTGTAAAGTCTGTTACTCACTAGTGCGGATTACTGGGATCTCTGGCCATAACACCAAGGACCCAGGCTTTCAGAGCTGCCTGAGGGGAGGCGGTGTGGCAAGTGCGGTAGTTTCCAAACTATGCTTTGTGGACTTGTCGGTGACCACGGAGCCCGACAGGTAGGGCCATGGCAGGGGGTGGGGTGCTTCTGGTAGCTTCCCTCCACCCTCCCTCTGCCTCCAACCCTCTCTGGTTGCAATTTATTAGTTTTACGCACTGGGCTTTCATGAGCATTTCTGTTTTGGGTTCGCTGACTTTAAGAAACAAATAAACCAGGGAACTCTGGGTTAACTTTACAGAATTTGGGCTTCTCTGTTAGGACTGGGTTTGTATGCTAGCCTCATTCTTAAGTGTATGTCATATTGACTAAGTTACTTAATCCGACTGCTCATATGTAACACATATAAAATAACTTCCATCTCACAGGTTTGTTAAACAATTAAATAAAAACACTACCTGTAAAGTAATTAGCATAGTGTTTGATATATATAATGCATGATCAATAAATGGTAGGTATTTTAAAAATAATTCTACTAAGTCCTTATAATTCTATAACAGCCTTTATGGTTAGGCTGTAGCAATTACCTGCTTTTCTATTTCAAAGCCATCAGGGTTTAAGTGAATGAGGATAATTAAAAACACCGGAGTGAATGTGGACGTTACTGAATGCCAGGGGTTTCATCTACAAATGCAACACTGGGGCTTAAGAGTTGCTGGAGAACTGATGACTTAAAATAAATGGAGGAACACATAGCCTTGCAGCTCTGCATGTATGAATTAAGAAATAAAATGAGCTCACTGCGTAAGCATGCTTGTCCTAGAGCCAGTGGTTTTAGTGCTAAATCATAACAACGCAAAGTAAACAAGTGTAAAGTTAAATGGATCCTAAGTGACCATAGACATTCTCAAATAGATGGACAAGCACCAAGAGAAGAGCTCCCATCCATGTTAATGTGAGCACAGCTATAGTGCTGAGCATTAAAAGGAAGAAGAAATGCTTTGAAACATTCTGAATTATTTATCTGAGACAAGAAATCAAAGTACAAGATAAGAGAGCCATACATTCACCATAGTGGCTGTCTAGGAGATTTTATATTCTCCTCTAAAAATACCATTTTTCAAGCCAATAAGAACTTGGAGTCACATTTTGACCACCTTTTTTTTTTTTGTCTTTCTTTTGCTCCTCAGACCTAGTTTTAAAACAGGAAGAAAATATTTAATTAGGAATTCCTTAAAATCTGTATTATCAATAAAACCTATCATATTCCCTCAACTCCATTATCTGTCAAAGACTGAGGAAGAAAGCAAAGACTATAAAATATACTGTTTCGAAGCCCAAAAGCTGACTAAGTAAGATGCATGCTTGAAAATACTGCTTATGGCACATCATGGTCTAAAAATATCTCAAAGCAATTTAGGAGATTTATGAGGTATATAATAAGCTGGAGAAGTAAAACCAGCTCTCCTAGCTTAGTAATAAGAAAATGAAGTTGAAGTAACAACACAACTTGTTTGAACAACATTTATCAGTAGAGATTTTTCTTTTGCATTCATCTGGTTTTGGTTTTTAGGTCCATTTTCTTTTTGGAACTGCCTTTCCCACAATGTGGGATCAGGTATAGTGTGGGAGTAACAGCACATGCCGTGACCTCACTCGTTTTCTGCCAAGCTACATCCAGCTGTAAACAAGCTCACGCATTACTGCCGACAACTTCGGGTTCTCAAATGAGCTACCCCGTAATCCAGTAAAATGCACTCCGAAGAGTGTGCAACCTCAAAAAAATTAAAAAAAAAGCAAACCCAGAACTACCTTATGACTCAGCAATTCCACTTCTGTGTATTTAGCTAAAGAAATCCAATTCAAAAAGGTATATGCGTCCCTGTTCTTGTTGCTATATTATTTACAATAGCCAAGATACAAAGGCAGCTTAAGTGCCCAGTGACAGATGAATGGATAAGGGAGATGTAGCACATATATACTACAGAATATTGCTCAGCCATGAAAAGAATGAAGTCTTACCATTTGTGATGACAATGGGTATACCTAATGGGTATTACACTACATGAAATAAGTCAGACAGAGAAAGACAAGTACCACATGAGTTCACTTATATGTGGAATCTAAAGAACAAAATAAGTGAACAAACGAAACAGAAACGGTCTCGAAGATATAGAAAACAAACTGATGGTTGCCAGAGGGCGGGGGGGTTCAAGGACTGGGTGAAAAAGGTGGAATGATTGAGAAGTACAAATTGGTAGTTACAAATAGTTATGGGGAAGTACAGTACAGCACAAGATGTATAGTCAATAATATTGTATTAATTATGTATGATGCCAGGTATGTGCTGGGCTTCTCAGGGTCACTTCATAAATTATATAAATGTCTAACCACTATGCTGTACACCTAAGACTAATATAAAATAATATTGAATGTCAATTGTAACTGAAAAAAAAGTGTGCAATCTAAGTGATAATAATAGAAGACATTGAATTAAAGGTTCATCTTTTTGATGATGAACTTCTTCACTTCGTAATGATTTCCATTAAGTCTTACTAGTACGTTATCTTATAACTACATTGCACGAAGTCCTGTGAAACCTGTATAGCAGATGTGCAGTTGTGGAAAACCACCTTCTTTACTGACAAATTTATCTGAGGAATGATATCTGTTATGTATGTAAAGGACTTTCAACTTGCCAAGTTCAACTGTGACTAGATGAAAGATGTTAGGAGTTTAAGTAATTTATGCACAGCATTTAGATGAACAAAAATGCAAAGCAGAATTTTGTATAAAATAATGATTTCAATAATTTCTTTGGGTTTTTGCATAGGATTGTCATCAAATGGAACTTAAAGGTACTGCAACTGTGTATTTTCTAAAATGATAAATTTTAAACAAAGCTGTATCAAAAATTAAATAAAACTTGAGAATAAATATTTTATTCAGATTGATCTTTAAAGGCAGTGGGGATCTTGGTAATTCTGATCCTTACCTCCCATGCAACAAAGAATGTGTCATGATCTGTTGACAAATTTCAAAATGTTAGAGCCCTCGCTCAAATCCCATCTTCTCTCATAAAACTCTTCTTGACCTGAGTCATTTTTAATTCTCTGAATCCTATGGCAATTAAGCCTGAGTCATTACACCGAGAAAATAAAGACTGTGAAGGCGAGGAGCCATAAAGCACTATAAAAGCATAAGATGGTAGGGTTGCCATGTGCTCTGACCCATGGCAGGTACTCAATAAATAACTGTGTAAAGGAACAAATGATGTTCTTTTTAGTTGTCTGAAAGCACAGCCAAACTCCTGAACCCAACTGTGTCATCCCTGAGAATCCAGCTTACCGCCCATAATAAACCAATGGCAATGTTCATGAACTACCAAACTTCGAAGTGACCTGTGTTAGAAAAAGCACCTGGCTGGGAAGTCTGTGCCTGACCTCCTGCTCTGCCAGTGAGTAACCCTGAGGTCTTTGGACAGCCACTGACAGATCTGGGCTGTGGCTTCCTCACGTTCAAGAGGAAGAATTTGAACAGAACTACTGTTCTAAGAAGAGAAGTTGCTGTTGATAGACCTTTAAATATTTCAGGACAGTGGCAAAGGTGTAACTTCATGTGATACCAAACACATTTCAGCAAGATTGCTGAGGAGAACATAAAAATGATTGGGAAGTTCTGAGTTCACTTGACCGAGACCTCTGCCAAGAATGACTGTATGCTTTCTCTTCCCACATGAGATGGAGGGAAAGGGAAAGCACTATGAATAATTACACTGAGACAACAGGCATAAACTGAGACTGTCCCCGGGCACCCTGGGATATATGTCCCCTCCATCTTCCTCACCTTGGACAGTTAAAGCATGGTGGCAGATCAAAAACTTTCAGTTACATTAAATTAAACTCCATATTTTATGAGACTTATTTCAGATAATAAAGCACCTACCAGATATCTCACACTTATTTGGCCTTCAAATACATTTTTTTAATCTAGTCAAAGGCTATTTTATTTCATACATGCCTTCTGAGGAAGAGTCATGGAAAAAGGAAATGCTCTCTTTTATTTTTTTTAGTGTATTAAAAAAAAAAAGTCCATGCTATTTATAAACATTTAGACAAATGCCATTGACCCCAGGAAATATGTCCCTTTAACCCTGAGTGAAGCGGTGAAGCTAGATCCTGAAAGGAAAGTTCCCCTAATTGTGAGCAGCAAGGTAGCCCCTAACTTACTTGAATCCCTTTGGCGTCAGGATGCACTTGGAGTTGTGCTGGCAAGGGTTCAGGTCCTGGGCACAAAAGTCCAGCTTCTCCTCACACAACTCGCCTGTGAACATGGCAAACAGTGTTAGTTCATAGAGAAAGGTGAACAGGCTTCGGGCTAGCAGGCTGCGCCATGGGCCTTATGAGTTGGCTCAGCTTGTGACTGGGGAAAACAATCACAAGACATGGAAGCAGAAGGTCCAAAATTCTGGTTCTGCTGGTCAACAGTCTTATGATTTGGGACAACACAAGCATTGTGATCTGTGATGAACGCCTGCCCTTTTAGAATGTACTGCTAGAGGTAGAAAAAGGAAATCTGAATGCTTTTAATTTTTCTTTTTTAAAAATATTTTATTTATTTATTTTTAGAGAGAAGGAAAGGGAGAGAGAAAGAGAAGGAAAGAAACACCAATGTGTGGTTGCATCTCGCATGCCCCCTACTGGGGAACTGGCCAGCAACCCAGGCATGTGCCTTGACTGGGAATTGAACCACCAACCTCTCAGTTTGCGGGCCAGCACTCAGTCCACTGAGCCACACCAGCCAGGGCTGAATGCTTTCCTTTCTATTGTTAAATTTATTTTATTTTGGACTTTTTATTGAGGTAGAGCATATACCCAAAGGATAAATGAATAGCTAATAAATATTCATAGACTAAGCCCACTCATGTAACCAGCATCCATGTCCAGAAACAACACCCTATCCCAGCATCCCAGCAGCCTGACCCATGGGGCAAATACCCACTGTTCCGACAGTACCACTGATTAGTTGTGCCTGGTTTTGAGGTGACATCATTCTGTACATCCCCTTTTATGTCTGGCTTATTCTATATTGTGTCTGAAAAAATAATCCTCAAGTCTTCATAGTCTCCAAGGTCTTATAAGTCTAGAATAAAATGTTTTTCCCACTTCTGACTTACTGCAACAGCTTCAGAGAATACTCCTTAGCTACATGCACCAAGGTAGGCAACAAGACAGACTGAAAAAGCAAAAGGAAAATAAATCTACATAGAGAACGTAGACTTTTTTCTGCATATCAGCTAGCTTGTAAGGAATAATTTTTATCAATAAAGGAGACCTAAAAGCATAATCATGCCAAGTCCAGGCACACTATGTTAAACTGCATGTCTAACTCTCTCAGGAAACTTCTTCAGACACAAATAACAGGGTTATATTTTATTTTCAGATACATTAGGCCAAATATGGTTTTCAGTGAGAAGACTTTCCCAATCATTGTGTGAGATATTAAGGGGACTGGAAAAATACAAAATAAAAGTTCATTTTTACCTTACTTCTGCATTACTTCTTAATTATTTTGGTGACACACCTATGGGCCACTGTTCTTTTCCAAGAAACTATTAGAGCTTTTATTTGTTCAAAGTGTGTGGATTTAAACAGCATTGATTAAAAACCCAGGAATTTGCAATACTTCCCTTTGTCATAAGACTGTCTTTTTAGTAATAGTTTGCTAATTGGTAGAAATAGTTGCTTAACAACTAACTCTGGTCTATTATTTACACTTCCAGGATCTTTTTCTATGATGCAAATATATAAATGTACTCATGTAGGTGGTACATCAATTTGATCTATGATAAGCTAGGCTTTTTTCTGTCTTTTAAGATGAACCAATTGCTACTGAAAGTCTCATATTTCTTCTATAAGAAGGTTTTTGTGTCTCTAAATCTGATACAAAATGTTTTAACAACGTATATATGATGAGTTATTTTTAAACAGGGTTTCTCTGAAACTTTCACCTTCAGTTAGTATTATTTTAAGTAATGCATGTTGATAGAATTTATTCATTATAATTTATTGGCCCACCATGATGAAATATCATTTTTAATTTTCTAATCAAACCTAGTTGGTTGGATTCAGGCTCTTTACAGTAGTCTATATCCAAAGCAGTTTGGTTTGAGATAGATAATATATATCATTCTATGTACTTTTCACTTTACACCCAAATAAAAATTGTTTTTAAAATAAAAAAGGGGATATGTTTTACTTCTTATTCATTTTTTATCTAATCCTATTCAATCCAACCCAACCCAACTCAATGAAGGCAATCTGAACCATAGTTTGTAAGGATCTGCTATATGACACTCTGGGCTAGATGCTGGGACTACAAGAATGGGTGTGATAAACGCTGCCTTTAGTCAGCTCTCAATCTACTGGTAGAGAAAGTCCAAGCTGAAGACAGAACATAGAGAAAGAACTTGAGCTCTAAGAGAAGAAAAGAGAGTTGACCTTTTATTCTCCACCAGGCGTTTCTCCATACACTTGATATGTTAAGGAGACAGGAGTTGGTTCTAAGGAACTGTTGGCTGAACAAATTGTCAAGTCCATAATCAATCACAGCTTTAAGACTAAGCATGCCAACTTGAATGTGAAAAGCTATGTCAATGTTAAGTATTTCTCAGCTTTAAAGGAATCTATGTTATGAGAAGAGCATAGCAGAAATAATAATCATTGCTAAAACTGTGTAGGATAGTTCTTTGTGACTATTACCTAGCTATACATTTGACTCACTTACTAAGACTGATTGATTACTTCAAAAAAGGATTTTTCTCCTTTTAAATATCACCAAATATTGTAATATTAACAAATATTACAAGAGCATTTCTGTGTCCCATTACTGCCTAACTCACTTTTAAAGCCAGATCTTCCATCCTATACTGTTGACACCTGTGTCTATTCACTGGTTTATGAATTTATCTCAGATCTGTGCCTGGGCTGATGGTGTTTCATTTTGTTTTAGTAACTTTAATAAGTTCTCTTCTCAATTTTTCCTTTCATTGTATGTCCTCTTCTTTATGAAAATTTCCTGGATATTATTAACCATTTTTTATTTATCTACAATTTTTATATGTCATGTTTGCTTCTTTTTTATGGCACATATTGTATACATTGTTATTGACTTAATAAACAACTATATAGTGCTTTCTACTGTGTGTCAGACCGCTGTAAAGGTCGTGCAAATTTGCGGTCGCTAAGTGTTCATGAGAATCATATAAGGTAAGGTGGTAGGGTTGCATTGTTCTAGGTGCATTGCATATTATTGGTGTTTATCTCATTCCTTTTCTTTGTAAAATCACTGAGGGCAGTATGCTTGGGATATTTGCCTTTATATTTTCCTAGAGTATGGTGTGGAGACATACTAAAATAATAGTTACTGAAAGAAAGATTCATGCTTTTTAAGGCAAAATTCTATCTTGCTGACCTATATTCAACTTGAATTTCAATTTAGCCTTTAGACACTTTTTCTGTTTAAATTTACCGAAGAGTCATTCATCAGTAATAAATACCTTATGCTCTTTTCTTTAAAAATTACTTTAGATATTTCCCTGGCCAAATATTAAAATAAATATTTTCACTGGATTATTTGTTTACTGTGTACTAATTATATTGGATTCTGCTGTATTTTGGGGAAGGCAGCTTTTAAAATTCAAAAATTGCCCTACAGTGTTTGACCTAGGAGCTTGATATAAGGTCGGAAATGTAGCAAGTCCCACAGATAAGTGTAGGACTGATGTCACTTCTCAATCGGTAAGAAAAATTGGACATTTGAAAACACCACTGGTTTTTCAGGAAGAATGGAAATAAAATGCACTAACAGTTCTGTACTCAACTTGGCTTTAGTTACTAATTAAAACTTGCTCCCAAACCTCATAGTATTGTGAGGACATTATGTAATTTTCTTGCTCCTCCTCCTCTTCCTTTCCTTCTTCTTCCTCTGCTTCTCCTTTTGCTTTTCCTCCTTCTCCTTCTCCTCTTCCTCTCCCTCTCCTTTTTTCTTCTTCTTCCTTTCCTACTTCTTCTTTAGTATGTGTGTAGTTGGAGCAATATTTGAGTTAGTGGAAAAATCAGGAAAGCAGATAAGACATTCCAATTTGCTTTTTTAATGGTCCAGGGCCTGCCTGAGTTAATATCATCAGTGGCTGCCTCCTTTCCTGAGATGATGAAGTGTGAGGTGACAGAAAAAGTGGAAATGTTTTTTATGTACTACACATAGTTAATGTTGTAACCTATTATCCTATAAGCAGGTCTTTATATTTTTAATGTGGCATCAGAAAAGTCAGCCCATTGGAGTGGTTAAGGTCAATGTGATCGAATGCATGTTAATTTCTGTGCCCTTGAACTCCTTAACAGATAGGGGTCTCTAGACAGACCTTGACTCTAAATTTGGCTCCAACCCAGGTAACTCTATTTATTTGCTTTCATCCCTAGCTCCATAAAGGTCTCCAATGACAAAGCGATAGTGTAAAATATCATTTTTGCCTGACATTTGTGATTTCCCTTTTGATCAGACAGAGAAATTAATTTTCCTCATGCTTCTAGTTTTCGGCTTTTTTGTTGATGAGAAGTTAAAAAGTTGTGAGAATGTGTGTGTGTGTCAATTGTCTGTGTTTTCAAGAAATAGAGAGAGTGGCCCACCAGGGACCTATTGTGACCTCTTCAGTATATTGGAGTTAGTGAACGATCCACTCTAACTTGTGAAGAAAAAGCACCATATGTCCCAAACAGAGTTGTCTTTTTTTGTGAGAAAGCGATATCTAGTTGTTGGGTCACTTCCCCTGCTGTGTCTGTCAGGTACGTAGGGCAGTTTTGCAGTTACACCAGTAAGAGCTGTGAGAGAGCAGGGCAAGAGTAATGCCCACTTCCCTAAAAAGGTGTGATTCCTCAAAGCCCACCCTTGAGGAAGAGATACAATTCATTACCTACTGAACACCTACTAATGTGGTTTTCCTGAAGGATGTTATGGAGTGGTAATGTCGCCATACATTCTGGCTTGCGCGGGACAGTCCTGGTTTATACCTGTTGTCACACAGTAATTATCAATAGTGTCCCCATACACTCTCACAGATGCTCTGATTAAGATGATGAATGTTAAAGTCACCTTGTCGGTGGTGCAGTGAAAGCTGAATCCTCAGAGTTAATGTTCTGTTTGGAGTGAAGAGTGAGCGAGCATAAAGGGAGAAATCATAGACAGAAACTGCTCTTATGGGCTGAGACGACATCTGGGTTGCTGAGTTATTGCTTGGAATGGCCTTCTGCAACTTATTTGGTATA